TGGGCTCGGACGCTGGCCCCGGGCCGCGCCACCGGCCGTTGGCCTTCGACACTGAGCTAGTCAACATAGGTGGCGACTTCGACGCGGCGGCCGGCGTGTTCCGCTGCCGCTTGCCCGGCGCTTATTTCTTCTCCTTCACGCTGGGCAAGCTGCCGCGCAAGACGCTGTCGGTGAAGCTGATGAAGAACCGCGACGAGGTGCAGGCCATGATTTACGACGACGGCGCATCGAGGCGCCGCGAGATGCAGAGCCAGAGCGTGATGTTGCCGCTGCAGCGCGGCGACGCCGTCTGGCTGCTGAGCCACGACCATGATGGCTATGGCGCCTACAGCAACCATGGCAAGTACATCACCTTCTCAGGCTTTCTGGTGTACCCCGACCTCGCTGCCGACGGCCCGCCGGCTCTCAAGCCCCCCGAGCTCTGAGCCTCAGCTTGGAGGAACCCGGGAAGGCCGCGGGGTGTGCATGCCGAGTAGGGTCGCAGCCCGAACGCCTCACCGGCCTGAGCATAACAACCTGCTCAACGCGCCTCGACTCTGCCAATAAAATGGGCCTGCCTCTGTCAGCCCTAGGACCCTGCCCTGTGTTTTGACTGTGATGCCTTTGCCTCCTCTTCTCCCCGGGACGGGACAGGACTACCCTGACTAGGACAACCCATAAGGCCTAGATGGGGGTCAGGCTTTGTGAGAATGACCAGAACTTGAAGCATATTCTCCTAAATTCAAGTAGGCCTCACCTTCATGTCTGTGTCTAGTGCATCCCTCCGTCTGACTTCTCACTGACCAATGACATTCTTCTTCAGGCCCAAATTCTGCCTCTCTGTGACAGGGAACATCCTACTACTCTGACCCAGTAGGAATACAGGACTCAAGGAAACAGCATGTTCCTTCTTCTAGTAGGGCATGGGACTGAGATTAGGGCTGCTACCTGCTTGCCCTGCCTCCTGCCCTCTCAGAACCGGCTGAATGATGTGGTCAAAACATGTGTTAGAGTAAGTTGTCATAGATTAAAAACTGAGATCGGCTCTGGGAGGCCAGAATAGAGCTACACAAAATTCATATACCCTACACTGCCTGAACCAGTCTCTCTGCAACGGTCTTCTCCCAGCTTTATTCCTCACACAGAATCAGGGCAACACATACCCTACGCTGCCTGAACCAGTTTCTCTGTGAGGGTCTTCTCCCAGCTTTATTCCTTACTCTAAGATGTTACATGTGAGGCCTGAGATGAAACAAAAGAAAACTTTTTTTCTTTCTTCTCCACAGAGGTAATGTTCTCCTACCTTTTCCCTTTACTTCTTCTGTAAATTAGAGCCATTGAAGACCAATCTATGCTCCCAGTCCACATGGGGACTTTGCAGTCTCAGAGACCATAGATTCTTGGTTAGCTTAGAAATGAGTGTAAGACTGGGTAACAAGCATTCCGTATTTCACAGGACTGCCAGGATAGGAGTTAGAGGATCTGACATGAATTTATTTAGGGGTTGCTTTGCTTTTAGCATGTATTAAACACACTTTAAACCCTGACCTCTGGACATACATACATGTAACCACTGTCTGCCAGTCTTGCCCTTTGCATTATGCCTAAACCAGGCCTTATCTGGGTCTATGAAATAAAATAGAATAGGAATAAGCATGGATGGTCAGGATCCAGGGGCCAAGCTAGGCTAGAGCTCTGAATAGGAAGACACAGGAACCTGCTGGAGTCCCTGCCAAGGGTAGGGAAAGGGTGATGAGAAAAGGAAATGCCAAGTGAAAGGGAAGGGTCAGGATCCCAATGAAAGGGGATGACTCTGGACACAGAAACCCTTGCACAGGTCCCAAAGTGTTTTCTGTGCCAGGAGGACAAAGGCCTCCCTCTTCAGCCTCACTAGCCTTGTGGAGCTGATAGACATACAGTGGGCCTATAAGAGGCAGATGCTAAGAAATAAATAATGACAGCTTGAGTTTTGCAGGAAAATGGATGGAGCTAGAAAACATTGTTTTGAGTGAGGTAAGCCAGACACAGAAAGACAATTACCACATGGTAACAACTCAATAGGTGGTTTTTAAACATAAAGCAAAGAAAACCAGCCTACAAACCACAGTCCCAAAGAACTTAGACAACAATGAGGACACTAGGAGAGAATTACATAGATATAATCTACATGGGAAGTAGAAAGTAGAAAAAGACAAGATCTCCTGAGTAAATTGGAAGCAAATTGGGGAAGGGTTGAAGTGGGGAGGGAAGAAGCAGGGAGGGGAGCAGAGAAAACTGTAGAGCTCAATAAATATCAATTAAAAATGTATTTTAAAAAAGCAGATGCTAAGAGGAGCCCTTCCTAAAGATGCTGGAGGTGCTGTAACTGTAACTCCAGATCACTGGGCACAGGTTGCTGTGGGAGGAGCCTGAGTCGATGGCCTGGATGTGTGGATCCTGGTTTCTAATCTTGGATGTACAGCTGTCCCATGATGTCTGGTTCCAGTCCAGCCCCCAGAACTACATGGGGAGTTATCTTAGGGGTGGGGCTGACCTTAGGTGTCAGGTATGGGAGCAAGAGTGGGCAGGAAGTTGGGAAGACCCATGCTGGTTGCTCCTCACCACAGGCAGGTCTAACCTTAGTCCCCTTCCAAACCCTGAACTTAGGATGCCTGGACCCTGCCACTCCATGATCCAGGCTAAGAAGAATGACTTCAAGCATCACTTCTGGCCCTCTGGCTCCTGCAGGCCACCCATGACAGTGCTGTCCATGGACAGTCCCGAGGCAGTAAAGAGGAATCGGATCCCTGCTGTCCATCACTCTGAACACCTGGCCTTCCAGAAAGCTTGTTGCCTAGGAAGCATCTTAACAAAAAAGTGTGTGGGTACCATCTCATGTCCCCTCCCCTATTCCAAATAAGCATGCTGATGGTCATCCTCCAAGACTTGAATCTTGTCCTAGTGCATACCAATCTGACTCCCCTCTTGTCAAAAGTTCAACATGACTACTATGGCTTGCAGAACACCCTGGTAGAGTCCCAGAACAACAGTAAGCACTGAAACTGATCTCCATAGGGTTTTCACACCATCAACCAGGCCCACAGTTCCTCCTCTGCCGTGTGAGGCTCAGAGCCACCCGCCCTGAAGCCCTTGGACCTGCATGATTCTGGACTAGTCACCCAAAAGAGACCAATGACTACCACTGCACACAGCAGGAACTGTAATGTCCCAGCCATGTCCTCTAACTCTGTCCTCCCGGAAGCATTTTACTCCTTCATCTGCCTGCCACAGCTCCAAATTTCCACGACAGGATGCTACTTCATTCCTTTATGTGTCAGTCTTCAGTGCTGTGTAGGGAAGGGCTGGCTATGACCTCATTCACCTGGGGCTAATTTTACCCCTTCAAGATGGGTCTCTTCAGTTTCGGCAGTAGCAGCATATTCTTGCCCGATCCAGCTTGACCCTACCAAGGGATACGTCTCAAGCAGCAATGCTATCTTACTATCTGTTCTCACACTGAAAACATCTTGCTAGAGGCCAGCTGGGACACTTAATCCAACCTGACACCCAGTCCAGCCCAGCCTCCAGAGCTCCTCAGCTGCCAAAAGCATCAGCAGCAAGTCCAGTTCTCCAGCTACATAAAAAAGACACAGAGCCAACCAGCATTAGAGTACCTGGGAGAGGCAGCATTGTCTTGGAAAGCAGACAGATGAACCTATAGCTCCCAAGTGCTTTTACCACAGCTCTGATAACTCTACTGACAACATTCTAGTTCTAGTCCAGAAACTTGGTAGATTCATTTAGCTTAAGAGTAAATAGCTCCTACACTTGGCTCATAGAACCCTGTGGATGGTATAAGAGTAAATAGCTCTTCCGTCTTACACCTGAAAGAATGGCCAAGATCAAAAACACTGATGACAACTTATGCTGGAGATGTGGGGAAAAGGGAACACTTCTGCATTGCTGGTGGGATGCAAGCTGGTATAACCCCTTTGGATGTCAGTGTGGTGATTTCTCAGAAAATTAGAAAACAAACTTCCTCAAGACCCAGTAATACCACTTTTGGGTATATATCCAAAGGATGCTCAATTGTGCCACAAGGACATGTGCTCAACTATGTTCATAGCAGCATTGTGTATCATAGCCAGAACCTGGAAACAACCTAAATGCCCCTCGACCAAAGAATGAATAAGGAAAATGTGGTACATTTACACAATGGAATACTACACAACAGAAAAAAATGATAGCTTGAATTTTGCAGAAAAATGGGTGGAGCTAGAAAACATTATTTTGAGTGAGCTAACCCAGACATAGAAAGACAATCACATGTACTCACTCATAGGTGGTTTTTAAACAGAAAGAAAAAAAAAAAACAGCCTACAAACCACAATTCCAGAGAACTTAGACAACAATGCAGACACTAAGAGAAACTTACATGGATCTAAAATCTGCATGGGAAATAGAAAGTAAAAAAAGACAAGATCTCCAGAGTAAATTGGGAACATGGGGACCTTGGGGGAGTGTTGAAGGGGAGAGGCAAGGGAGGGGAGCAGAGAAAAATGTAGAGCTCAATAAATATCAATTTAAAAAAAGTAAATAACTCCTTCACTTGGCTCATAGAACCCCGTGGATGTTTGGATGGATGACAGTAGATGGAGGTTCTCCTGGCCCCACCCAGACCCCTGGATCTATCAGCTGCTCCCACACAGTCTGCTGAGATAAGGACTCTCTTCAGTAGTTTCGAGGCCCTCAGTTGTCACTAAAGACCATGCCACACCTATTCTAAACCCTAAGGACAGCTCCAGAGCCCTCTAGAAACACATGGAGGCCTACAGATCACAGTGTCTACTACTGTAGCATACAGCTCCATTAAATAGACCAATTTGGAGGGGACACCTCTAACCCCTGTACCCCTCTCCTCAGTCAGTGTCATTTCTACCCATTAAAGATCATGAGGGAGGGCTGGAGAGATGGTTCAGTGGTTAAGAGCATTGCCTGCTCTTTCAAAGGTCCTGAGTTCAATTCCTGGCAACCACATGGTGGCTCACAACCATCTGTAATGAGGTCTGGTACCCTCTTCTGGGCTGCAGACATACACACAGACAGAATATTGTATACATAATAAATAAATATTTAAAAAAAAATCATGAGGGACTGGGGGAGTAGCTCAGTAGAAAGAGCATTTGCTGCCACGCTGGATGACCTGAGTTTAATTCCCAGAACTCAATGGTGGGAGAACCACTCCTGCCAAACATCTTCTGACCTTCACATATGCTGCCACCCCTGCTAAATAAATGTTTTTAAAACACCCACAGGCAGTGGTGGTGGTGCACTCCTTTAATTCTGGCATTTAGGAGGCAGAGGCAAGCAGATCTGAGTTCAAAGCCGGCCTGGGCTACAGAGGGAGTTCCAGTACACAGTACACAGAGAAACCCTTTCTCAAAAAGCCAGTCAATGAATGTCCTTAGGAGTTTATTTACAGACAACCATAGATAAGGCATTCTTCTTCTGGGATCCACATGCTTTTCAAGCTACTTGGCTTCAGGCTTCTTGTCTCCAGCTTCAAGCTTGAGACTCTCGGGGGGCTGACGATAGGCAGGGAAAGCCTCCCAGGGACTGTTCAGGTCAAACTTGCGGAATTCTTGTGCTAACTCCACTGGTTCAGCTACTACCCGCTTCACTTCATCGTCATAACGTAGCTGTAGGAGCAACAGTTAGAACTAATGACCGAGGAGCCATTTTGTAAGTCCGTGGATGACTCTAGTCCCCTTCTCTCTCCCCTTGACTTCTGTTCAGTACTCGTTATAGCTGTCAGTCACATCCATGCATTTTACCCATGTGGTCACAGAGCAGTAAATGAATGTGTGGGATTTCAAAATGGCCTTACTTTTTACATGCTGCCAGCACTGTTGATTGCCTTGCCACTTTATTTCACATCTTAAGCTCTGAACTATCTGCTAGCACAGATCTCCCAAGCACACACCTTAAAAGGTAATAGTGATGGGCGGTGGTAGCGCACGCCTTTGATCCCAGTACTTGGGAAGCAGAGGCAGGCGGATATCAGTGAGTTCAAGGAACTAACAGAGCTAGTTCCAGGACAGGCCCCAAAGCTACAGAGAAACCCTGTCTCAAAAAAACAAAACAAAACAAAAAAATTCATGTGTGCTAATAAATAACCTGCCTGAAATTATGATCCCTCCTCAGTGGCCATCCTTTCTTTTCATGTGTGTACAATATATATACATGTTCACTTGAATATGTGCATATTTGGAGATCAGATGTCAACATCAAGTATCTTTCTTGGTCATTTTCCACATTATTTATTTAATGTGTATGCTTCATGTTTGTATAATGTGTATTACATGTGCTGATTTTTGTGGCTAGAGTACAGGCTGGCAGCACATGAACTTCCCGGAATTCTCCTGTCTCCACTGCCCATCTCGCTACAAGAAACACTTGGGATTACATATGAGTTACTATGCCCTACTTTACTTGGGTTCTGAGGATTAAAACTGAGGTCTTCTTTTAAATTCATGACCCACTGAGCCATCTCCTTGGCCTTATACTTACTTTTTATTTTAATTTTTTTTTTAAAGAAAGGGCCTCTCACTAAGCATAGAGCTCAATGACTAGACTAGGCTGGCTAATAAACTCCAGGTTACACATACATGCTGTTGTTATTTTTGGTTTTTGAGGTCAGGGTTTCTCTATGTAGCATTGGCTGTACTGGAACTCATTCTATAAACCAGGTTGGTATTCATCTCAGAGATTTGCTTGCTTCTGCCTATTAGTGCTGGAATTAAAGGCTAGTCTGAAACTCGAGAGATCTGCCTGCCTTAGTCTCCTGATCCTGGGATTAAAGGCATGTACCACCATACCTGGTTTACATCCTTTTACATGGATGTTAGGGATCCAAATTCAGGTCCTCATGCTTGTGCAGAAGGCACTTTACTGACTACTGAGCTATTTTCCAGTTCCCCGCCCATTTAATAGGCTCTTACCATGCCCAAGGTGGCCTTAATACAATCCTCCTGTCTTAGCTTCCCTAGTATTGAAATTATAAGAATATACTAGTATACCAGACCCTCAGTAGCTTTTTTTTTTTTTTTTTTTTTGAGACAGGGTTTCTTTTTGTTGCCATGGCTGTCCCAACTCCCTCTTGTAGACCAGGCTGTCTGTGAACTTACAAGTGCTGGAATGAAAAACATGGACCACCACCCGACTGTGGTGTGCTTGAGGGCTGAAAATTTCACGTCTTCACTGCCAAATCCCTTTAGTGACAATTCTTTACGGATAGAGGTTAATGACAGAATCTATCTTTAAGGTTGCCTTGATCAATAAAACTTTGTTTGCAGCTGTCCCCCAAACCCCCAAGAAAACCACCAAATAAATAAATAAACCTTTGTTGTTTTCCTTTAAAAAAAATGCAAGCCAGGGGGTGGTGCCACAGTCTTTAATTTGGCTATTCTTCCAAAAGACCCAGGTTTGATTCCTAGCACTGGCATGGTGGATTATAACCACCTGTAACTCCAGTTTCA